ACCTATTATTTAATTCCATATAAAAATTCAGTATCACTTTTAATGATATCAAAATCTAATCTTCAAAAATTATTTTTCAAGTCCATTATAAGAAAAAGAAAAACCACTTTCCAAGTCCCACCTCATATATTTTATATCAAATCTCATAATCATAAGGAAATATAATTTCAAAGTTTTTTTATTTATATATAGGGAATTATATTAGAATCTAAACAACTTATGCATAAATCAAAAATCATTTATGTCTATTCAATCAGTTTTTCATTTGTCGTCTACAATTTACACACTTCTAATATTTAAAACTTAGATTATGACACGACGACATTATTACAAAACATTGCAAGCCTCAATCACATACTACACTTAGTACGAAAAAACCAAAACAAAAAATTATATTTACTACATCCATAGCCGTGCCTACTAAAGAAAATTTTAAACATTCGCTTAGGGCATCATTTATTTTTGGTTAAAACTTAGGGCATCATGTTATATAAATTAATTAGTTTACATGTATTTTGTAATAATAATTGGCGTGATATTTAGAACTTGATAGGTGGATGTAATGCAGAGCATCTCATAACTGGTTTGTATAAATTTAAATTTAACAATTTTTAAAATCTTTCATTTTTTATGATTTTTACATGAAATAATTTCATTTTTATTCTATTTTTACCATCTTTTATTTATTTAGAATTGTTTTTGTATAGATTATTGTTTATTTCGAAAAACTTAACCTTGTTATATAAAAAGGTTTCGCTTTTCAATATAATACTTTTTATTATATTAATTACATTTTTTAAAAAATATTCATTGAAAATATTACTTTTATTATCTGATATGTTTAGTAACATAAATCTTTATTAATAAATATTAGAAAAAATAAACTATATGTCTATATGTTTATTTGTTTTGGGCATCTAAAATGATAGGCACCGCTCTGACTACATCAATACATATTTTGGTGATTCTTAAATCGCATAGTACTTCATAGTTGTGATAATTCTTAATTACGTAATTATTTGGACAAGTCAAGCTTGTGTACAAGCCGTTGACCTAGTTAAGAGGAGCATATTTTTTGGCTTTTATATATTGACAGTATGAAACCATAAAAAACTTAGTGCATACACATACAAAATGTGTTCAATTGGTATATATATAATGAAGGGAATTAAATTAAATTGAGAGAAGGGTCAATGCTATTGGTTTTATAACACTTCAAGAACAAATTGATAAGTCATGTGACTGCATGTGGTAAGAAGGTACGTCGAAATCAATTCCACCCCCATGAGTCTATTCTCCTACTGTCTTTTTTTTTTTGTAGCTTTGGAGTGGTTTAAGACTTTTTACAAACTTAAATATTAAATTTAGACATATAAATATGGGACCCATATTTAAATTGAAGGAGAGAATATTACTGAAAAAGGGGAAAGAGGCTTTGGTGTAAAAGGAGATGATGAACAAAGCTTGCCTTGTAATGATAACTCTATCGGATAATAGTTTCTTTTGACAATGCCAAATGTCAGCATCAATTACTAAAAGCCAGTAAGATGAATGGGTTCATGATGGACATATTTTTACAAAATTGAAAACATATGTTTAGATATTGATTGAATAAGTGTTTTGTTTTCCATCTACTCCAAGCTAATTTCTAAACATATTTTTTGGAGATTAATATAAACCTAAATTGGTATACAAGCTCACAAAATACATGTTGTTGACAGAAAAAAAGATTATGGTGATGATTTTTATCAGTTTCGATTCGTGATTTTTGTTCACTCAAAGGTTCTTTGAATTTGTTACGAAGTGGACATGAGAGATTAATGAATCGGCAAATGGATATGAACATTAAGAAGAAGACTGATCATATTGGATAGGGACACTAATTAAGACAATTGTGATACGAATTGGTAACATCGACAGCAAAACCCTACAAATATACAAGCTCTCTTATATTGAAAGGTCCCCTATCCACTTGTGAAGTTGTGATGCGTCCCCACAAATGAACCATCATATAATTCAGGAATCCCATATAAGTAAATAATTTCTCATTCTATCACACTGCAACACTTGAATAGGTTATTAATAACATTGCTGTGATATATAAACTAGTTGCACTATCATATTACAAAGGTAAGCATATGTTATCGGGTTATATTTAATTGATACATTTAAACACAATATAAGCTGATTTTTGTGTGCTTATGTATGTTTTTCTTATGATATGTATACCTACGATACCCAAACTCAAACATCTAAACAGACTTTTTACATAAGCTATTGGATTAAGAAAAAAAAAGATATGTTGCTCATGTAAACACTTTTTAGATTTTGTATTGTGATATAGACACATTTGGAGAATGAGATTTTTTACGGTGTATTTTCATATATCTTAGACTACTTCTCAAGTTTCAACCTTTTCTAGTGCAATATTTTCGAAATGGTGACAACCATTTGAAAAGAACCAAAAAACAAAATTGCTACGCACCAAACCATAGTCATTTCATAGCTAAACAGCTACGGATTTGTTAGAGATTTCATTCATAGCTAATTAACGACAAAATACCATGGAACTGACTACAAAATTGCCGAGTGTTGGTCATGTCGCTGTCTTTTGTTATTTTTGTAGCTAATCTTTTTAGCTAGGGATTTACTCTAGGCAGTAATATTATACAATTTTTCCTTTAGTGTTTAGGTCTTCGAGGCCTTTCATAAAACTTGTTCTTTTTCAAATTTAGCTTCTCCTTTGATCGGCTAAATGTTTTTGTTTTTTGGGTTTCATATACAAAATCGAGTTTTTGAACTTTTTAAACATGTCATATGGCTGTATAGAGTCATGTTTGCAGAATATCTTATACTTATTAGAAATATGTAAATTATTCGTTTTTATTCTGAAGAAACCTTTAATGTCATATACCACAGTATAATTAAATAATTATTTATTAATGTGAAATATGTATTATAATATTTTATAATGAATTTGTAAAATGGAAAAAAGGAGAAATAAATCTTGTGGGTTCGGTCAGTATGATTGGAAATTACTGCATGCAGACCGGCAGACTTTAATTTTTTAGAGTCGTTTTTTCCCTCTCAAAATAAATATCATAATCCATCCTATGATAAAATCAACAAATTTAAATACTTACAAATATAGCCCACACTAATGAATAACATTAAAGATGCTTCAGGAGTCTCAATCTTGATTGTTGTAATTTCCAGAATTTGAGTAAGGAGAATACAACATGCTAAGAGATTATCCGGGGCCAGGTTATAATTTGTTTTTTGTTCCTAATTGTTAAAAAAAAAAGCAAGTACATAAGTTGATCAGGGAACCAAGGCCTTAATCAACGGCGTCGTTTAGGGAGAATATCAGAAGCAAACTCTGTTTCAAGTGCTGAATTTGAGGTACAAAATGTGAGAGTTTGATTTGTTATGTGTTTGCTTTGTTGTCATTGCTCATTAGTCACATCTGCACAACTACAGAGATTAGGAGCAGTTAACTATAATAATAATTCCAATTTGCCTTTTTAAAGCAATGCAAAATGAAACGGAACTAGTCTTAAGTAAACATTAAATAGATGATTTTTTTTTTTCATTTGTCAGGCATGTGTACATATGAGAAAATAGATTTGTAGGTTTGTTGAAAGTTTGTTAGCTAATCACTTTCTTATGATACAAAGTTGACATTACTGCGAAAATCAATATAAAAAGTGATTTCGTCAAAAAATCTATATAAAAATATTTAGGTCGGAAACACGAAGTTTGGTGGAAAAAGCCTTCAACAGCACATGATTTTACTAAAAATATTCCGGAATATGTTTAACCAAATGGGTTATTATCTCAACCTCTATTTTCAATTTCAATTTCTAAAACTGTACAACCCGAGAAGATAAGTTTTTTTTTCAATAATGTCTTGCAAGTTTCTGAACATTAACAAGAAAAACAATTTATCATCAATATCACAGGATCCAACAATCCAACCTATATTACAGAACTACAACGATTGAATCTCCTAAAGTTTTCATTTAATTAGCCACTTCTATCCTGATTGTTTGTTTACGTTATGTTTTAACTTTTGCGTTTGCATTACATTACCATTTTTTCCCCAACAATTCACACACAGATATTCTAGTCACATTTATTTATTTAGTATTTTTCAGTTTAGAATTCTAAAACGTTATAGGGCTTGATTGGTAAGTGCTGTAGAATCTGTACACAGCCATAATTTTTTTAAAGCACTAAATTTTTCTCAATCATACTTTACACAGATTTTTTAAAGCTACAGATTTTTCTTTCCTTTTTTGATTTTTTTGACTGTAGAAAGCAAAATATGTAAAGAAAAAAATTTGGACTTTGAAAAATTAATAATCCTACAGCACTAAAATCTACAGCCACAGCAAAAAACTTACAGATTTATTTTACAGCAAAAAAATTAAAGCTACAGCAGTAACCAATCAAACCCATAGCTTTCTAAGTATCCAAGTTGTTGACAAACAAAAATCACATTTAAATTAGCATTTAGAGTATATTTTTCTCTACATGAACTCATAACCTTTAAGCATTTTAAGCAAAATATTTCTATGATAATTTTAAAAATTACACGCCAAATGCAAACGAAAGAGAAACTTTCTATCTGCATTTACATTCGCAAATGTTGATTAAAAAATGTGTTTTGAAATAATCAAGACTTCTAGGAACCTTGACACCCACATTAAAATTTTTGTTTTTGGATATAAAATAAAAAAGAAAACTTTCGGTTTTGACGATCTTCTAATTTATTGGCCAAAATGGAAAATAGAATAGCTATTCCTTGGCTTGGCTTGATATTGTATGTGGAAAATAGCAACAAAATTTTTCAAAAAAAGGGAAAACGAACTTAAGTGCTTTATTGAAAAACCACATGGGGGCACAAAGCTAAACAATGACCATTCAATAATCATTATAAAGACTGTTCCTCTTGTTTTGGGCATCAAAACGGGTCCCAAATAGAAACTTCCATATTAATTTTGTGGGAGATTCATACCAAAACTATAGCCTGCAAAAAAAGTCATCATTGTATTGTAGTTTGTAACTTTCTGAAACAAACCCATACGAACATACCCACTTTCATGTCTTATAACGTTTTTGAGTGGTTATGGCTGGTTTCAAGTCTCTCTCAACAAATCATATGAACAAAATCTCTACTTGACATTGATTTCTACGCATACCTACTTGAAGAAAGATGAAGCCAAGAACACATGGAGTAATCTATTGGATAGGACCAATATTCGATACACACGCTAGATTAGAGAATCAAAAATCTCAAGATATATATTCAAGAAAAGTAAACATACACATATTCATTTTGTCCTTATGGTTTTCCTTCAAGAAGAGCCACACAGCTCACAGTTCATATCCTACCCGTTGGAAACTAACAGAGCAAAGAGCTATTCTCATAACAGAAGATATAGACCTAAGAAAACATGTTTCAAATTCTACTAGGAGCCTTCTATTGATTATTCTTAATTCTCAGTCTCTATGCAGATAGTTTATAACCAAGCAAGGGTCTAGATACGGAGAGTCTTATCAGTTCACTTATTTGAGCATGAGAAACAGATACAATGAACATGATTCAATTGGTGGAAACGTAAAGGTCTCACACCATGGAAATGATCTTATTTTATAACTAAACAGAGTAGTTGTGTCCGGGAGAAGTTCTGTTACACTCTGACAATAACTATGATTTGAATCATCATTTGATTAATAAGATACGAAATCCAATTAAATGGAAGTAATAACATCCACTAATACATGTATCAGGGTTCCATCTAAACCGCCGAAAGATTGCAAATGCAGTTGAGAGATTTAAAACTTAAAGAACCTGAATTTTCTTGGGAAAAAAACATCAAACTTTGCGCAAAAAGCCATCCATCTACTTCAGTTGCTGCCTATTAGATGGGACTGACATAGTTTGCAAATCTACCTGTCATTTGAAGATACAAAGCTGTTAGAATCTTAAATGAAGTATCTTCGTCTCTCTTTTCAAATCTAAATCACAAAATAAGCTCAAACACCTAACACATCTACATTGTTAGGTCATTAACTGAAACCAATCGTACACAGTGAAGAACAGCTTACTCTTAATGACGTTGTCTAAGGTTATTAAGCCTAATTCAAATCCAAAGAGCACAATTAACCAATTAAGGAGCAATGTACATAGTATGAATTCTTCCATAGCCTTATAAGCTCAGTGATCTGATCTAAGCCGCAGTAAACACCAAACTCACCCACATTTCATAATTGTATCTTTCTCAAGTAAACATAACTACAGAGATTTGATTTGCAGGAATCCAATTATTAAAACCAATCATCATACCCAAGAAAGAGTAAGCTAATTGTGTTGTCCATCATTAAGCCTAATTCAAACCCAAAGAGCACAATCAACCAATCAAGGAGCAATGTACATAGCATGAATCATTCCATAGCCTTATAAGCTCAATGATCTAAACCACTTCCTAAAGCAGCTCAAACACCAAACATAGTCACATTTCATGATTGCATTTTTACCTAAGTAAACATAACTACAGAGATCTACTTTGCAGGAATTCAATAATCGAAACCAATCATAGTATCATACCCAAGAAGGAGTAAGCTAATTGTGTTGTCTAAGGTCATTAAGCCTAACCCAAATCCAAATAACACAATTAATCAATCGAAAAGCAGGATAAGTGTTTACCTTCACAAGAGGTGACATCAGAAGGGAGCTTCGAAACGAGGAGAGCGGCAGCGACAACGCTATGAAATGGTTGATGCGTGCTTAGTTCTCGCCGCAGAGACCTTTCAGATTCGAATCAAAATCCAAAATTTTATCCAGGGCATCACAAAAGTCTAACACTTTATGCAAAAGACGGCGAATTTTCACCTGGGAACTGAACTTTCGATTCGAGTCTGACGAAGAGGCGAAGTGGTGTTGAAACGCGACGACGATGAATTAGGGTTTGGGACGGAGAGCTTAGGTTTAGGTGAGATCAAACTTCGTGTTCTGAAGATGGAGCCTAGAGACGTAGATCTAGAAGCGATCCTCGTTGCAGCCATTTCTTCGCTTCTTCTTCTCCTTCTGCAAATCCCGAAAACCTTCGTAAAACCTCCATAGGGACTGGATAGGCCGGTTCGATTAACTGTAACCGGAATAACTCGGTTTCAACATTTGGTAGGATTTGGGGATCGATGGTTTGTGGACATATTCGATAGAGAAATAGCTTATAATTGGTTTAAACTACTGTTGAATGTAATTTTTAGGCAGTTTAGGCATTTACAAAATAAACTTATATAATAGTTAATTTTTTTAAAAATATATCTATCTATTACTAATAAAAGTTGATGCTTAATGCTTCTAAAGGTGTCCACATAAGATTTAAAGATTCAATTCTATTGATACACATCATCATTATTTTTAGTTAATTATATATTGTATATTAAAATTAATTAGTTTGTTTTAATTGTTATAAGAAATTTTTTTAAATTTTAATTAATTTTATTTTTGTTGTTATTAGGAAAGTTTCTAAATTTTAAGTTAGTTATTAATAAAAAAGATTTTTGAAAATAGATCTTATTTTTCTAACAATAATAAAAAGGTAAATTAACATATAAATAGATTATGAAAGAAAAATCATATATATTGAACAAAATTATTAAAAACTGTATTTAAAACCATAATTAAATTATTTTAAAATTTTAATTACGACAAACAATTAAAATCTGAACTGCTAACTTAAAATATATTAGTTGTGGTATGTGTTGATGTCTTAGGTCAATGAGAGCGTCCACATATGATATATATATTCAATCTGATTAGCCTATATCATCATTTTTCATTAAACATAAAAAATAAAAAATATTATTAATAATTTAAATAAATTAAAACATACAAAAATATAAAATTATCACAATAAAATGGAAAATTAAGATAATTTTTTTAACCAAATAAAATAAATTTAAGTCAAAAGTCTAAATCTGTTGTGAAAATAAAATGGACATTCATTGTCAAAAACTAAACTAACAAAAATAAATATGTAAATCAATAATGAAAAAGTTAAATTAAAAAAAAATTTAGCATATATATTTTAAATGACTAATTTGTTTAGAAACAAATATTAAGATTAAATTTTCATATAAACATATAAAATTTTTATTTAAAAATATCAATACTACAAAAAAATATTCATCTTAAATTATCAAAAAAGAAAGTCATCTAAAACCTATAATTTTGGGGGAAATATTTAAAAAATTAACACAAAAATCTTAACAAACCAAAACTGATACTTTATGCTAATTACTGAAAAAAGCAATATAAAAAAAATATTTAACTAAAAAAAATCAAAACATAAATTATTTCTTACAACATGTCAATACAATTAAAATAAAAGTCCATATCGAGAAAGTTAAATTAACAAAAAGAGGATATTAACTTAATATCTATATTATTTATTTAACAAAATCAATATAAACAGAATAAGTAAGAGAATAAAAAAACTTAAACAATATTAAAAAACTTAACTAACAAAAAAATATTAATATTTAAGCTAATTATTTAAGAAATCAATATTAAGAAATTAATTAACTAAAAAACTAAAACGAAAATTAAATTTTACAAAATATTATTTTTTTAAAAACACTTAAAATATATTGACTTGATATTTGACTAACTACTTAAAAAATTCATATAAAAATATTTAATTAACAAAACAATTATGTCTTCAAAATATCAATATTTTAAAAACAATGGTGTGTTAAAATAAAATAAGAATCAATATCAATAGAGATAAATTATCAAAGAAAAATGTATAAAGTAAAATTAGCTTGATATTTAGGCTAACTACCAAACAAATATTAACTAAAAAAAGCAAATGATGGTATAAGATTTTGAGAGAAGTTCACTTAAAAATTAGAATAACCCGTTATAGCATGTCAAAATAGCATTTTAATTAATTTAAAAAGTAAATTTAACAAAAAAGCATTTATGTAAAAGATATTAGATTAATATATATGCTACCTATTTGAAAAATTAATAACAAAAGAGATTAATTAAAAATATATATGTTTTAAGTATATCAAACCTGCAGAAAATTAGATAATTAAAATAAAATATAAAATTATAATCGAAGATATTTAAAATAACAAAAAAAAATATCTAAGAAGAAAATTAGTTGAAATATAGTTCCAAAAACATTCATGATTTCTAAAATATTGATGTTGACTATAAATAACCATATAAAGTTTTAATAGGTTATACAAGTTTCTAAATCAAACATATTATTTAAATTTACAAAGATTAATACCTTAGTTGCGTCTGGTTGAAAAATTAACAAAGTAAAATACTACACAAATAACTTTACATTCAAAATATGATAAGTAATAAACTCTTATTTGTATACATATTTACTGCTTATAACTTAGTCAACATGAACAACACATGAGCAACATCCTCTAAAATTTTATTTAAATAATATAATATGACAAAATTATGAATCAAATTCAAATGATAATATATGAAGATAAAATATTCAAGTCAAAACATGAATAAACACACAAAAGATAAAAAAACAGTGATAATGTGAAGTCTCAACATTATCTTACATGTTTAAAAACAAATATTAGCAAATAGTTGATTGCAAATAAAACAGATCTTATAAACTGAATAGAGATATAACCTAAAATTCGTAGAAGATCCGGTGGAGAAGCAAAAAGCAGCTTTACATGATTAGTGTAGCTTACTTACAAAAGTAAATCTGAATGAACATATATCATATATTATATATGTATATGTACACAATATTAGTGAGACATTTAGTAAATAAACTAAATAATTAAACATATAAACCTTTTAAAAAAAGAACCATAGAAATCCTAAGGATACAAAATAAAACACCAAAAATTTAGTAAGGAAGTCATTTTCTAAATCAAACATATGCACATCGAAGTTGGATAATTCGTTAAGTGTCATTATAATGATTTTACTTAATAAAATTTGTAATTTTATGTTTTAATTTTTTTATATAAAAGAAAATTTCTATAAATATATTATAGTTTTGATAATTTAAAAGATATAAGGCAGAAAATTAAACCAAATTATTAATACAGACTCGCGCGTAGCGCGAGTTAAAAGTCTAGTCTTATTATATAAAGCTGAATGTATCAAAGTTAATTATTCATATGATTATAATACATGACAAATTATTCGATTCAGATTTTGACACATATTATGATTAAATGAAAAATAAAACAAAAATAAATAAAAGAATATACTTCGGTTTATAAAAGGAAAATAATTTGAAACAGTAATCCTAAAATAACGCATATATGCGGGGGTTAAATCAGAATTGATAAAGCAAAATAATGAGGAAGCCAATTTTTCTTTGAAATATGTAGCAAATTTTATATGTTAGTTTTTCACATGATCGTGATACATGTTAAAAAAAATTATTAAAATTTTGACACATGTCACAATTAAATTAAAAATAAAATATAATTTAGGAAATATCATAATTATTAAAAAAACAAAAAAGAACTTATAATTACTACAATATCTAAAAAGTAATATATTAAAAATAAAAAATATATATATTTCAGCTAAGAAAGGAAAAACAGTTTTTAAAAAAAAGTAAAGATTAATCTTAAAAGAAAAAAAATATTATTACTCATATCTTTATAAATACATAAAAAATTTTATAATTTTCCTAGGCTGATTCTTCTCTTAAACTCAAATCAATTGAAAAAGATGAAAAACTAATGAAGCGATGAAAAACAATCAGAATTGCGGAAGCAAAATGAAGGGGAAAACCAATTTTGCTCTGATATCATTTTACCAAATGAGATTCTCGATGAGAATTTGTTAAAAAAAATCATATTTATGAAAAATATAAAAGTAAATACAGAATAAAAGAAAAAAACAGTTTTTTTAATCAGTTTTTTAATCAGTTTTATTATAAGTGATTTTGCAAAAATGTTCTCAATCTTATTTCACAGTAATCTAATTTTGTTTTATTCCACAGCTCCTGGATTTATAACTGCTTACATGAAAGTACCCTCATCATCTGATGCAGAGATTGATGAAATGGTGAAGGAAATCTTGGAATGGTTCAGAGCGGAGACATTGACCAAGATAAATAATTTGTGAGTTATTAATAAATCACTTTCCTTATTATTGTTGACATGTATATATGTAAGGGCTTTTTTGCTATCTAACCATATTTACAAGCAATAAAAAAATATAGCCATATTATTCAAATAATATGCAAACTAACCATGATCCACATAAAAATTATTAAAAACTCCTTCCGAACTATACTATAATATGTTGCCCATATTTTCTTATAAACTATACTATAATATATAATTTTTTCCGGATTATACTATAATATATGTTCTTATACGAGAAGGCTTATATAGTATAGTACTTGAGGTTCTAATTACATATCAGTTTTATATTAGCATATTATACTATATCAATTTTTGTATCGTACTATACTATTTACGAAAATAATTATATTATATAATTTGTATAATATGAGTCATCAAATGGAGAGGAGAGAGGATGGGAGGGGAGGGAAAGGAGAGGATGAGAGAGGAGAAGACAGGGAGGGGAGAGGAGGGGAAGAGGAAGAGAAGAGATGAGAAGACGTGAAGGTAAGGGAGAAGAAGGTAAACTCCGTTTTCGTGGGCCAGATCCCTTCACTGTCAAAGAAGTCAGACCACATGGCGCAATTGTCTTGATAAATTTCAAAGGAGAGGAGTTCATTGTGAATGGCCAAAGGGTGAAGCATTATTGTGCGCAAGCCGAGATTCCAGTAGGACACATTGTGTCTCTGGATAATGCACTCGCTGTCTAAGCAGCATTCCAAGTCAAGCTAATGACTTAAAACAAGCACTTAGTAGGAGGAACCCACTGGTAAGTTATCTAATTCTCATACTTTAGTTTATTTTTTGTTTTCTAACACACAAAAAAAAACAATAGAAGAAGAGTAAAACTTTTTTGAGCAGACTCGACGAACAAGTGACGACCAAGGTCATCACTCGAGCTAACTGATAACCTCATATTTTACCATGTTTTACCTTGCATTTAGTTTAGTTTTTGGTCTCTTTCATGCATTCATTCATCATATTTTGTCACATTTGCATTCATATTAGACATAATAGGTTTTAGGTTAGACATTTGCATGTTTTGCATTGTT